AATATTGGATATTGTAAATATCTTTGCACCTCAAATAATATCAAGGCTTCTGTAATATGGTGATTATTATTGTCGCACCATTTAGGGCATAAAGATAACATTGACCAGAAAAATTAAAGTCATTGCCAGGAAAATTTTAGATTGCCTAAGGATCTCTATGTTTGGAAATAGACAGATCGTTTTATCCTCATATGATGTGTTTTTCTGCTTCGGGGTACAAACAATTACAGGAAAAATCTGCTATCAATAGACACATCTTCATACTTTGTTTGGAAATAGACATATCCTCATTGAAGTTTGGCTTGAACAAAATAGTATGATGTAAATTTATGAGATAAATTAAGTCTTTTAAAAGTGTTTCAAACCCATTTCCTGGGTTTTTCTTCTGTTAAATTGGATCTTAAAATTACTTAAACTATGTTTCTTGATATTTTTACTTTTTTTTATTTTCCTTTTCTATGCTGTTTGCACAAAAAAAAAAAAACAAATTAAAGCTATCAAAACTCAAAACGGGTTCAACTCAAGCAAATTAAAAAGCCTAGTGGTTCCCACACAAGTGCCAGCAAAACAAGATGCTTTAAATGTTTTCTTCAAGTCCCAGAATTTTGATTTTGTCTCTAGCTTGGTGATCTTATGGACATGTGTAATACTTTTATATGGTACAATGTTAGAGATATAATTTATTTGAGGACGAAAAGGTTGTAAGTTACCGACTTGATCTTTGTTAAAATATGTATTCCTTCCTTGGCTGTGGTTATCCGTTCCAAATGTTGTTTATCTAGATTGAAATCGGAAGGTAATAGCTTAACTAATATATATACTTAATTGATTCTTGATTCATGTTACTTTTACCTCTAATAATGCCTCTAATCATTCAATAAAGCCAGATGAAGCTCCAAAAGACAGATGAGACTTGGATGATTTTAATGTGTGGCTGAGAGAGAAAGGGAGAGATGGGTCCATTAATGTAATGATGGTTCATGAACATGCAAAACGACAGCTATATAACTTTTAATCAATGGATCTTGTAGCCATTTCACTCAAATGCAACTTCCTGTCGCTGTGTTTCCTCTTTATAGTTAAAAGGCAAAATGAGTTTCCGGTTTCCCTTTTATGGCTAACAAATTAATTTACTTAAATGTTTTCTCTCAAAGACAAACAATAACGGCACACCGGCAGTTCGGTTCAAGTTTTCTTAAAGCAATGGTCCTCCAAACTTTTTACTTCATTGCAGTGAATCTGTCTCTACCACCAGAACTTAACAAGCGGTGGGAAGCTAGGAATTTATGCTGAAGTTTAAAGCTAAACTAAACCTTGCAAGTTGCAATGCCAAGCAATCAGGTATAAGTCCATCCCCTCCTTGGCTTCTAGCACATAGATATCTAACTTTGCAGAAGTTCTTTAATTAAAGACGACAATTAAGAACGAAGCTCCATGCAACGATGTTGCATCACACTTTACAATTTCTTAAAAATGTTTGCGTAATCTAGCGTCCGGCATGCTCAAATCCACGTGACTTATCTACATTCCATCGACACCCTGTCCCTGTCGTTTATTTGTTAATTGACTCTGATTTTAAATGCAAAACTCGATATGCCTAGTAAAGTAATTGAAGTGGGACGATTAACCTTAATGAGTTAAATGAAAATATTTTGTCACTAGCTTGATGGCTATTAAATCAAATTGCATGAACCATGTTTTGCCTGCTCAAAAGGTGTTTTTACGTTAAACACAAACGCATTAGAACACAAAACAGAGATAGTGATATAACAAAAAGTTGAGACATCCTTTTTAGCTGGTGAAGGACACTGCAGGGAAAAGTTATCACTGTAAGCGAACAAAGGTTTGATTCTCGCATCCAGCGCTGTCATCCACCCATGTAGTAAGAAACCCTTTTCTTTTTTTGTTTTGCTCTTCAATACAAAGCCTTTGGCCTGTATAATTATGTAGCTGCTGTGAAACATCAACAACTATTAGAACACGTGTTAGGTCGACATGACAGGCAACCAGTCCTTGCAATTCAAGTACTCCTTTTAATCTGTCCAAATCTGCCAATCTGATGTTAGAAAGCTTAAGAACCTGGTAAAATTTTGCTTAGCAACAATGTGCAATATCTGAGAGTCCTGATACGTAAAACGAAATTTAAGTAGCTTTTCAACTAGGCTTGGTCAGTTAGGTGTCTTAGTTGAGACGAAATACTGCATTAGCTTGATGAGACATGAGAGTTTCAAATTGAGTTCCATTGTCTGTTTTTCCATTCGGTGAGCAATTTCAATTGAGTTTAGTTTGTTAGGAGGCTTATGCGAAAGAAGTGGACTGTCCATTGTCTAACCACTTGTACTCCATTTTTGGAAATAGTTGTCATATCAGAGTTGCGGTCAAGAAAACAAAAAAATGTAATCGATGTGCTCAACCAAAATTTGTTTTCGTAACAGCTTTCATTCAACCCCCCCAAAACACAGGTAGAGTCTACGACGCTAAGGCTAGTTGTTTAGTTTGTTTAGCAAGAAAACTCAGGTAAGGCACTTATCTGAAAGAAAAGCTTAAAAAGGGTACTGAATTAACTCGGAAATTCAAAGTCAATTAAGCACAAAGACAAAAGTAAGAAGGTAAATGAATCAAGTTACCTGAGAATTACTTGAGTTTAATTTCATAAATATAAAAATTTGACTCATTTACTATCGGTTCGAGTCAAGTTAGAACTACTTGAGTAACAAGTCAAATCGAATTCAATTTTTACAGTACTCTACTTTATTCGAATGATTCATAATTTTTATCAGTTTTTAAATTTTTTAATATTATACAAATAAATATAATATTTATTTATATATAATGAAAATAATTACATTAAATTTTTTTTTTCTAAATTCAAGCTCCAATTAACTTTCAAGCTTTTTATAATTAATACTTGAGCTTAATAGAATGGAGTTCAACTAGCTTGATTATTGTGTAAAAAAAAAAAACTCAATGGAGTTTGATGCTTGATTTACTTAATGAAATTGAATTCGAACTTAACACTGTATCAACTCGATTATACATCTAAGTAGAAAATTATAATGTTTTTACCAAAGAGAACTAATTAGGTAGATTTCTTAAATTAAGTTCATATTGTTAAAATCGACTGAATAAAAATTAAAATTTTGAATTAAATTCTATAGTTTGATGGAGTTCAACTAGAAAATCAGTAATATGTAAACATCTAATTAAAACTAACATCTACATGTAAAATTTCATCAATATTTATTGAAAACTTGAATTATTTAATAAAAAAATCTATATGATTCAAATTATTTAAAATTCTGTATGTTTATCTAAGTAATAAAGTAATATAATCTAAAAAACCCATCCTATTAAGTCTTGCTGCTGGTCCCCTGTCACAAAGTTCAGCTAGCCTAAACAGATAAAAAGAGGTCGGGTGGCGTGCTGTTTCTAAGCCCGACCTGAATTAGAGTTATTGGACTAGGCCGTTCTGTTTAGGTTGGGCCACAAAGGCTAAGCTCACAAATACTAAAATGAGCCGATCAAATTCATTTCTTTTAGCCTTAGCCCTGGATTATTAATTCCACCGCACATATCTGCTGCGGATTTATTGATTATTTTCTATGCTAATAAAATATAACCACATTTTGTTTATAATGATAATCCTTAATAAAATAAAATTAAAGTTAAAAAATCATAATTTTTTGATAATAGTTACCCCTGAATTACATGATTTATACTATTAATGTACTTGCACGTGTAGATACAATTTTTATTTTTTAAAATATTTACATTTTATTATATAATTTAATGTATGTATACTAATATCGTGATAAAAAATACAACAATATTCATGTTGTTATATTTATTCTTACCATTAAATGTTAATAGTGTAATCATGAAATAAATTTATCTTTCAAAATATAATATTGGAAATGTAATTACTTTATTAAAAAATTTAAATTCAATTATTTATGAGAAAAATCACAATTTATATATATCATACAACATTTAAATGTACTTAAATGATTATGTATCAACACATTCTATTTGTAATATAACATAAAACATAAACAGGTTTTAAAATCACTGAGATTACTATTCAATCAATTACAAATTAAAATCATTTTAATTTTTATGGACTATTACACTTTACAAAATGTGAAAGCATTTTTTTATTTAATTTATCCACCATCTAATTCTATTATTTCTTTTCCTTATTCTTTTCACTCTATTTCCAATACTTTTTATAACATAGATTAATAAAAAAATTAACAAAATAGAAGAAGGGAAAAGTAGAAAAAACACAACAAATTAAATAATAAAAGTTAATAAAAACCTTTTTCACTAACTAACATTTTGATTTGTTTCTTTGCTTTCATTTTTTTCCCTTTCTTTATCCTTGAATTGTACCTTTTTTTCCTCTCCAAACAAAAAAATAGAAAACCTTGTGACAACCCACTAGAGAGGTGCCCATCAATTAGAAAGGGGACAACTTTAACAGTTTACATAGATCTCATCATGAATGGAGTATAAGTAAAAACCTTGAAACATGGGAGAGCCTAAGTTGAAGTTTGTGCAAGACACTTTGAAAACAGCACATGAAGCCATGAATCACTCTTGACAAGGTTGAATCATTACTTCAATACACATGTAACAGTGATATGGTTAACTCAAGGCATGTGTAAATTTACCCCTCTTTAAGTGTGTAGATTCCAAAATTTGCTAAGCCAACTTAGATTTTGTTGCTACCCAAAGCCACTACTAATTTACAGATGAAATTGAAATCTCAAAGCACTAAAACCTGTCTTAATTAACTAAGAATCATCACATTAATAAGGTTAGTAAGTTTGTGAACTAATTTCCTCCGTATCGAAAACAAGTTCCTATTTGTCGAGAGATGGGCTTCTGATTATCTATGAGACACTTAAGAATAAACCCAGAACTACAACAAATCAATAGTTTGTTTGCCATAAACAACAAGAAAAGATTTTAATAGCACTACTATAAGAAAGACTTCAAACACAAATTAAGGTTAATTTAAATTACTATTTGTTACAGTCCAAGGGACTTGCAAGAGTTGCTCTTAGCATCCTGCTCATTAGTTATTACACTCCTCTTTTGTCCCGAAAAAGAAAAAGCAATCAAACCACGAACAAGCTGATAAAACAAGCATTTTATGAATTAATTAACCTTCAACTGAGGATCAAGCTCAACTCTAGCCACCCCTTCTCGATCTTCAGCGGCTTTAGCCACTTCCACTTCACCAATAACAAACCTAGCCACGTCGCTCTTCTCTCCCCTCAAAATCCTCTCCTCTTCCGCCTCGTCGACATAGTTTGGGTCCTTCTCATCGACAGCTGCAGGCACCGCCAACAGCTCGTTCTCTGCCACGTCATTAGGTCCTTCCCACGTGTACTTCCCCCCATGACCCGACTTTGGCGGTGGCCGACCGATCGCAATTCCATTAGCCGGGTGTCGCTCCATCCGTTGGACCCCTTTGTCCTCCAACTTCTTCTCTACGTACTTGATGGTGTCTATGTTCCGAGAGGGCACTTCTGTCTTTCCAACTTTCTTTTTACCCTCTTCGTCGTGACTCACAGCTCGGTTCACCACGGGGGCTTTCTTGTCTTCCTCTTTGTCGTCGATCGGTTTCATTTCCACTTTGCTGCTTTTGTCTTCGATGTTTGTGTCTGATGAAGAGCTTGAGTTTATATAGGGTAAAGCGACAGTAGATACTAGAAAATGCATATTGCTTGAGTTTAGATACCAGAAAGTGCTGGAAAGAAATATCTTGAAAGAGTAAGATTGTGCCGGAAGGTTCTGCATGCCACGTTTATGCTGAGGTTTTGCCACGTGTAGTTAAATGCTCTGGTATGTCTCAGACTGAGTAGGAGATTTGTTTTTGTAAGTTTTAAATATGTTGAAAGTTTGAGGGTAAGATGGAGTGGATTCATTCTGTCAGATACTGATGGATGGATGTTTTTATAAAATTTTTCTTATCCAAATTAAGAGAAATGAAGCAACAATAAGACATTTTTCACTTACCAAAAAAAAATTACCTCGGGTATTTAAAGAATTGGTGTAAATTCTCTTCCATGAAAAACAGTTTCATTAGTTTTAATAACATTCATTAGCATTTCTCTAATTAATTACATAGTCATTACACTTAACTTTATGGTGAAATTCTACGTTAATTCTTAATTACAAGATTAAAATGTTGAATTTCTACTTTAAAACTATTTTAATTAATACAAAAGATATTTGATCTTATGGTTTGTAAAAGAAAAGGTGAAAATTTACAAAGGTTTTTTTTCCTTTTTTTTAAAAAAGAAAAATTAACATGGCTTTAGATGACGGATTAATCTAAATGTCACGTGTCAAGATTTAACTTGTTCGGACAGTTGGCTAACGTGGGTCGTTGGCCTGCTTTTGTTGTTGAGTTGAGCCTGCTTGGACCGTTGGTCTGTTTAGGCTGTTCAGTATTTAACACGTGACAAAAGCACAGACCCAAACATGAGTTTGAGAATCTCATCAGCGCTCCGTTAATAAGGGGTGGTAAGTGGGTCAGAGTAACCCAACTCAGCTGAGTCGAGATCCAAATTGCCAATAGATTGTCTACTTAGATTATAAATTTAAATAACTTTAACTTGAAAGTTTTTAAAAGAGATTAAAAAATAATATTTAAAAAATTTTAAATTATTTAAATTTTTTTAAATAAATTATTATATTTTTATTTCGTTTAAGCAAATTTTTATATTTTTATTATAAATTAAATAAATTCTTATATTTTTATTTTTAATCAAATAAATCTTTATAATTAATAATTGATTTAATTAAAATATCATTTGTTATTTTATACCACATGATATTAGCGTGGTATGCTAACATATCATAATAAAAGATCATATAGCATGCTATTATATTATAATTGATGATGATAATGATATGTTAATTTAACACGATAACTTGATCTTGTAGTGTTTTTCATCTTTCATATCAACTCCATATTAGTGTGATATGAATATAAAATGATAAAGCATTTTGACTAATGACAATTGTTCATCATTAGTTATAAAAGTTTATTTGACTCAAAATAAGAGTATAAGAGCTTAATTAAATGTAATAAAAAATAAAAATTTACTTGAATTTTTTAAAATAATTTAAAAGTTTATTTAAGTATTATGTCAAAAAAAAAATCAAAGTCACCCTTCACCATAAACAAATGGGATTATTTGAATTCAAGTCATGTTTGTCTTTAAATTGTTTCCTAAGTCGCATGGTTTGGATTTATGAATGCATAAATGACCAATCAAATTTAGGTAACTCTTTTTCTTATTGGTAATTTTCACTGAGAGGTCATTTGAGGGTGAGTTTACCATATCTAAAGTGTATGGAAGAGCTTTTCTTAAAGTTGCAATCCCACTAAAAGAAGAAAAGTAGGTGCAGGAAGTCTTTCCAAATAATTGAAGTGTTTTGCATCGAAGTTGAATTATCAAAACAGAAGGATTCAAAATTTGAGAATTACCTTATTGATGCTCTTGATTCTTACTTTAATTAGTTGGAAGAGGATTAAGAAAAGAGAAGGTAAGTAAATATCTTGTTTTTGGTATTAACTTATCAGCACTGTCAAATATATCTGCTCCTTTATTTCTATATTTCTGTAGAAAGAAATAAAACCATAGATCAGGATATAGGAGAGATCCAGGCATTAAAATCAAGTGATAGTAATTTGATAGTACTAGGTATTGATTTACCAGAAGTTGAATGGGTACATAATCTCCTCAAAAGACGGGAGATCAAGAGAACATATGCATGCACCCAATAAGTGCTGGAACCATTGCCAGTTAAGGTTAATGCATGAAACTTGCAAGACATCAGTTAGATACATAATGGTTAATGATAGAAGCTGAAAAGTTATGGATTTTCATGTATAGAAAGGAAACCAACCAAGGCAAATTCTCAAGTAAATATAGTGCTTAATTTCATATTTATATGACCAGAAAATGGCTGGGACGAGTAACTTTACCAAGAGGGAAATTTTTTATGGAGGTGTGGAAGATGATGGAGATCAGAACTATTCTGTTCACACAAAGGGGAGAAAGAAACTTCTTGTTTTGGGTCTTGGAGGGTTGCTTTGCCATAGAATCTGCTGGAAAGACACCACTGAAGTTCCAATAGTACATCGTAGGCCCGATGCTGTTTATGGAAGCTACGCTGGTATGGAATTTAGCATTTTTATTCTTTATAATTTTTCTTTTGGTCTGTTTCCATAATTTCTGTTACCAATTTATTGTTAATACTTAATTACATGCTGCTCGTCATCCTTCTTTTTCCCCTCATTAAGTATACAAGAGGCCTTATTGTGAAGAGTTCATGAAATTCTGTCTTTCAAGATTTGAGGTGGGGATATGGTCATCTGCGAGAGAGTGAGTCTAGTTAATGAAGCCAATTAATCAAACTCTGTGTCTTTTTGCAATTTCATGTGGTGATTGCTATGCTTATTTTTATTCTTCTGGTAAATGTGAAGATGGTACCTGAACAGCGCCTTGGACTGTATAATGAGTGGATTGAGAAGCAAGATATTATTTGCTTGGGTAAGCATGAAAGTAGATTTGCTTTTCTTATAGAAAGGGAAGTGAGGTTCATAAGAAAATGACAAAGCTTTTTTATTCTTCCTCAGGATCAAAATGAATGTACTAATACTGGAGTCAGTTGCTTGGAGAAGAAAGCAAAACCGATATTTTTGAAGGAATTGAAGAAAGTGTGGGATAGAAATTGGTCTAGCTCCCTGCAGCACAGGGATGAATATTCTGCATCAAACACTTTGCTAATTGATGATGAGCCCTACAAAGCCCTGCTGAATCCTGTAAAATACATATCCATTTAGAAAGAAGTAAAAATTTTCAACAACTCGAAGCTTAATCTTTATGCTTTCTTGCAGCCTCACACAGCCATTTTTCCTTCTGAATACAAGGCGTACCAAGTTAATGATAATTCTTTAGGTGAGAGTTTCATGCCCTTGGAATAGAATTCCCCGTTAAGACTTTGTATTTTTTCAATAAATTCATGTAAAACTGAAATATAACTTTGTCTAGGTCCAAATGGCGAGCTGTGGCGCTACATGGATGGTCTGGCAGCGGCAGATGATGTCCCTTCATATGTTAAGGCACATCCTTTTGGGCAGCCTGCAATAACGCCAATGCACTCAGATTGGGATTACTACTCCAAGATTATGGTCAATATTCAATGGAAAAAGTAGAATAGTTTTTGGTATTTGTTTGGTCTAAATTTGGTATATATTATTCTAAGGAGAAAGTGGATCACATTGACTAATACATCCTGAAGAATGTGGTGTTAGACTTAATCATATGCTTTTTCAATTCCAACTTCAAGGAAGACCATTGTTCTTATCTCACCTCTCCCCTTCTCAGTTGACTCTTTCACGAAGGGAAATGTTTCCAGGGTCTAGACACTCAATGTCTGCTGCCACTCGCAGGCAGCCGCGTGGCCCCCGCCTCGCGCCTCCCCGCCCGCCTTTAAATATCCACTGAAGATGGACCTGCACATTCTGGCCTATCTGAAAATGCTATTGATTCTTGTTTCGTCTCAATCTGGATTTGGGGATATTGTTCTTCTGAAAGAGTTTGTATGATTTGGCATGTTTGGATAGGATAAAAAATCTACCTAATAATTTGTCTACTCTTGCTCAACACAAAGCAAAATAAACAAAATGATATGGCAGACTTGGGTTTCATACTAACCAACCAGAATAGAACTGGTGAAATACTGCCAATTAAATCGTCTTACTTTTAATTAAATAAATATTAAGCCCTTAGTGTTGCATAAATTTATCCAATTTGAGGAGATGCTTGAATTGTAGGCCAAGCAAGCCAACCACAGCCCACACGCCTAATTCATTTAATGCATATTATTATGTCCTTTAAAATATTTATTTTGATATTGATATTTTAATTTTTTGATATATTTTAGATTAAAATTGAATAAAAAATATTATTTATGAATATAGTGATACTTTTTGAGCTAGACATATAAATGGGATTAATATTTTTTTTTTGAATGAAATGGGATTAATATTTTTGGTTTAGGGTAATATTTTAATAATTAGATCAGAAATTGAACTAATGAGATTTAACATTAATCCAATTAAGCGACGATGTTGAAAAGGATGGGCATTGCCATGATTTATTTACGGGAACATCTTTATTATTATTACTTTTTTTTCCTTTTTTTTCCGCAAAACATGATGCATGGACATCTTTTGCTTCACTTGGCAAACAAAACCTCCATGTTGGGCAAAATCGCATTATATAAGTATAAATATACGCTGCTCTTTAGATAAGAGAATCATGTATCAATCAATAAATTAAATACTCGGGTACCATTATATAACCGTTGGGCCCCATTGGGCCAGCCTCACCGGGCCGGGCGCTTGGCATGAGTCAGAACGAGGATCGGTTTGCTCTGATACCACTTTGTCACGGAGTCATTACTCTCTCCCCCATAAACCGGCTTATAGGGGTGTGCAGCACACCCGCTTATAAGGAGCCTAGGACCTCCCGTTCCTGTCTGATGTGGGATAGAGTCACTTTTCTTGTGACACTCTCACCCACCTGAATCGGCAACGTCCTCGTTGCCGTCAGCCACCCTACCTACCCCGTTGGGCCCCACTGGGCCAGCCCCACCGAGCCGGGCCCTTGGCGTGAGTCAGAACGAGGATCGGTCTGTTCTGATACCACTTTGTCACGGGGTCATTACTCTCTCCCCCATAAACCGGCTTAATACAAACGTTTTTACCATTATTTTTCAAAAATATATACATATTTATTGTGATATCCCAATTATTTATTTGCATGCTTCTAGAATATTTTTATTATTACTTAGCATTATTTATAAGTTAATTTTTTTTTAACTTTAAGGTAGCGTTTGGTATGAGAAAAGTGAAAGCACATTTTCTGTAATGTGTTCAATTAAATTACATTGCAATATTTGTTTTATAACAGACCATTGTAATGTAAAATTGCAATGCAATCACATTACATCCCTTGACTGTAATGTGATTGCAGTCCAAAATCAATGCAATCACATTATATTGCATTATGCAATCTTCTTAAAGATATTTTTACTTTACAACTTTATTACCTTATTAAAAATATTTTATAATGTTATAATTAAAATAAAAAATATTAAAATAAAATATATAATATAAAAATTAAAATAAAATAAAATATAAAAAATTAAAATTTATATGATATAAGTAAAATAAATTAAAATAAAATATATAATATAAAAATTATATTAAAGAAATGAAATAAAATATATAAGATTATAATAATAAGTAAAATAAATTAAAATAAAATATATAATATAAAAATTAAATTAAAGAAATGAAATAAAATATATAAGATTATAATAATAAATAAAATAAAATAAAATATATGATATTAAAAATATATTTAAGAGATGGTATTATATAAAAATTAATAATAAAAAATATAAATATATTAAACTTGTATTTTAATAACTAAAGGTAATTTTGAAAATTAACATTACATTCTCAACAAAATACTTGTAAACTAAACGTTGTAATGTTATCTTCTCTATATTTTAATTATTATTTTACTTGTAAAGCAAACACTGTAATGTTATTTTCCTACAATAACATTACTTGTAATTACATTACATTGTAAAATATCAAACGCCACATAAGTTTATTCACTTCCACCCTCCATGGATGGATAGCAAATCATTAAAAGTCAAAAAAAAAAAAAAAATTTAAATCCCCTTAATTAATACATGATTCACTAACTAAAGAGTAAAATTTAAATTTTTATTTTTTCAATTAAAGAAAAAAACATTAGGTTTAGTCACATTTAGTGATTGTTTAAAATTAAATATAATAACTTAAATGTTCAAAAGAGTTTAGACTTGTCCTTAAATAGTGAGGTACTTTCTATGTAACATTTTTGATACATGATATCATGAAATATATATATTATTTTATTACCGACTTCAACCTCTGTAAAAGTAAAGTTCTCTATTATTATAAATAGCATTTTTTAGTAATTTGAAAACAAACCTTTTACGGGAAAAGTGAACATCCACTCTATTTAGAACGTACCCACCCCCTTCCTCTGTCGCTTTTTTCTCTTATTGGTTCCATTATTACAGCGCAACGCTACCTTTATAGAAAAAACCTCCACAGCAGTGAACAATAAATGTGTTGCCAACATAAAATAATTGATGAACCTGTCTAAATTTAGCAAAGTCGAGTATCAGCACTTCTGGAAATGAAGACGCTTTTGACAACCTAGCTAGCTCTCCGACCTCCACCGAAAGGGAAAAAAAGGAAGTTCAATATCTAGCTATCACACAGAATTGTAGAAAATTCTGCGATCTAATTGTTACAAGTGATAATGTGAATAAAATTAGTTTCAGTGAGTGTATCACGTCAGCCTCCAAGACTCTAAAATGTAAACCTGAAATGAAAATGTTGACCAAGTTACAAATATAGCCTTTGAAATTGGTATATACAAAATGTTTGTTTCAGAGGGCAAGTACACACCTTGGACACCCTATTCACTAGGCACGGACAGGTTAATATCAGGGGATGGCCGATGGATTGATGCGGGCTCCGAGCCATTCCAACCAGCAGCAGCATGAGAAGATGTAGCATTTGGTACGTGTTTATCAATTCTGCTATTATCTGCTTCCCCAAGGCTTTCCCCTGGAAATGGGGACGTTGGTGTCATACAGTTCTCACCTTCAGGTTTTGCTTGTGAGATTGGCCTCGCTGCTGTCACCGTAACTGAAGGAGCAGCGGCGACTGTGGAAGCCACCGCGTGTTCACGATAATGCTTCCTTTTATGCACTTTGTAACCGTTTGGCATGAAGCTTCCTACCACAATCTAGCAATAGAATATTGAACTATATCACTCGATGCATCCAGCTTTAAATTTAGTGATGACAAATTGGTTGAAACATGTTGCTATATGCCTACGTCTCCATTTCAGGAGAAAAGCCTTCCGATTGATCAGATATGCTTCAGTTTAGAACATCCACTCCGATTGAGCACCATGGTCAACAGATAAGATGAAATATAGACTCGTGAATATACTGACAAAGAGCAAAGGACTTACTTGTATAGGGCTAGCAGCCACCAATATACCAGCAAGTCCACCACCTATTACGCGACCATCTGGTCCAGCCAATGAAACACTCAACCCACCAGTTCTACTTTTTACACCACAAGTGTCACTGACAGTAAACGAACCAGTTAAGGACAATATCTCAAAGCGGCCCTGCAAAGAAATTTCAAATTTCAACCTATAAATCATACTGAAAATCAAACTGTGAGAAGATATGATAAAGTTATAAACTATTGGAAAGTATTGCAAAATGAACCATAAATCATAAATGACAGTTTTTGTATACATCGTATGATATACTTAAAAGGAAACAAACACCGGCTGAAATGTTGTGGGAAAACTACTAATACTAAATAAGTTGAATAGAATAATTAACTATCGGAGTTCAATGATAACAAATATCCCAGAATGCAAGTCTAATATATGAGACATTTCAGAGACCTACGGGAACATGAGCTTCCCGCAAAATCAAAACTGGATAAAAGAGAGCAAATAAATGCCTTTATAATTTGCTGAAAATTTTCTTGGATTTACATAGAAACATGGCATCAATTGGAAATTTTGCTCAAGATAACACATTTTTTATCCACCATAACACATGTTAAATGTCACGGTATCAAAGGGGAGCCGTGAATCTCACATCAACTGTATATTAGAATGAGACTAAGTATTTAAGTATTCATAGCATTTTCAACTTGAATCGTTTTTTGTAAGACAATATCGTAAGTCTTGATATCATTGTGGGACAAAATCGTGAATCCTGTTGTCACAGTCTCAAAAGGAAACCATGAATCACAATTGATTGTATATTAAATTGCGATTAGATAATATTTTAAAAATTGACGAGTACCGCATGACACTAGGGTTGAGTTTCCGAACCGAAAGCAACCAGCAAAACATGAAAAGCTGTAGCATTCCTTATTCAGAATCTATTAAATCCTTAATTTGAGCTGTTTAAAAAAGCAGTTTTGTGCTAATGTGTGCCATGGTAAATCTACCACCTTGTCTGGGGCATGCATCCCCTAGGAAATCACCTTTTCTAAGGGAGCATGAAATTAATAGTGTAATAAATAAAATTGTCCAAACAGTAAGGGACAACATTGGTAGGAGCAGAAGGTAGAAATCATGCCTCGTATGTTA